AAACTGTTGAAAGGGGGCTCCCGTCCACAGGAATTGTAAGTGTTATTTCTTTAGCCATTACTCCATCGACTCTTTGCAACGACCCTGTAAAATAGGTATTCCTATCCCAATTTATTAGTGAGGAAACCGAAGCTCAGAGAGATGAGGTACCTTGTCCAAGATTCATACAGCTAGTGAGTAGCAGATCAAGGATTCAAAGCCAAGTCTAGCTATCTGATAAAAATTGTTCTCTCTACTTCTCCTCATAACCTCCTTCACCAAAACACTGGCTTGCATCACATCAGTAAATGTGTGTGAAGCATTTGGCCTAACCAGCTGGGGATCCTGGGGTTATGGGATGACAGAGTAGAAAATGTGAGCAAAGTGAAATCTCAGATGTGCCACCTTCCCCTCCTCCCTACGTACACTGCTGCTAAGGTTCCCTAGGTCTTTAATTCCTTCAGTTTCCTATGGCCTCTCAAAGTGGAAATATACCCAAGGGAAGAAACAAAAATTACTGACATGCAATCGTTCAGAAAATATTTATCAAGCAAGCACCATTTATTAAGCAAATGGGATGATAGAATAACAACCACTTATACTTGTTTAGCTCTCGAGATTCGCAGAGCCTCACCAGAATCTGAAGGAGTACTTAAGGCTGAGATTATGATCTTCTTTTTACAGATGATGAAATTATGGCTCAAGGATTCTGAGTGACTCATCCGAAGTGACACACTTGAACCACACTTTCGGAACCAAGGCTCAGACATGGCTCTTCTGATTTTCAGTCCTATGCCCTTTCTTTTCTGTCACAGTCACTCAGGGGGTTTATAAGTGGAAACTCAAGGGACACATATAGGAAGAGTTAAATAACAATTCAAGATAACAGGATAAGTAATGTCAAAAGATAATAAAAGTGCCAAATGACTCATATAGACAATAATTACTTCAGGAGTGATGGGGAAGGTTGCTGTGGGTAAGAGTCAGCAGGGAAGGCTTCAGACAAGAAGTAGGACTTAAGCCTGGCCTTGGAGACTAGGTAGGAAAATGACAGCCAGAGAAGAAAGGGAGGGCATTCCAGTATGGGGGACAGGATGAATAAAGGTGCAGAGGTGAGAAAGTGCAGGTCTTGTTTGGAGGAAGAATGAGGAGATCAATTTAGCTAGAGAAGAGAGATTTGTATTAGGGAAGAACAGAAAATAAGATTGCAAAGGCCCTCTTGAATTTCTGACTAAAGGATTTTGGCTTGTATTATATACACTAGGGAACTATGAAAGGGTTTTGAGTAAGAGGGTGAAACTCTGAAAGCAGTGTGTGGGCAGATTAATTTGGCAATATGCATTATAGAGGATGCATTCAGGTGGGGAGAGACTGGAGGTAAGGAAGACCAGTTAGGCCTGTGACAGTCGATCAGGAATAAAATGACAAGAGCCAGCATTAGAAATGGTAGTACTGGGACCATAAGGGAAGGCCAATTGTAATTGGCAAGATGAAGAAAGAAATGTCAGAACCTGGTGAAATGGGAAGAGACAAGAATCGAACTTACCTGAAAATTTTCAAGCCTAGGCAACTTGAGGAAAGAAGATGCCATGAACAGAAATGAGCAAGACATGTAGGGGAACTGGTTCGGCGAATTTAGGTTTTGACACGCGAGAGTGGAAGTAACAACGGAAGGTCCAAGTGAAACTATCTAGTATGCAATTGAAGATGTGGAGGAGGAGCTTGGGAGAAGGTCAGGCCAGCCCTGGGAGTCAGGAGACCTGCGGCTTAGTCTCTGCTCTGCCACTAACTTGCTAAGTCATGGGCAAGCCATCTCTTTGGGCCTATTCCCTCCACTGTAAAGTGACGGGGTGCTCAAGCCCTAAGCGATTTCTGAGGTACTCTCAAGGACTATGAGTCAACTGAATTGTATTCACCTGCAAATATGTTCTCTCTGAGAGAAAATCAACGGTCTGATGGGGTAAGGGTATTAAATAATCTCCACATGCTATGATTCTGTGACAGATCTCAGGAACTCTATTCACTTAGGGAGTAAAAGAGAAAGAGAAGCCAGCATAGGAGATAGAGAGAAAGTAATCAGAGAGAGAAAAGCAGGAGGAGAGAAATTCTAAATGGAGGGGCTAAAATAAGAAACTAAAATTAAAAGTAAATAAATGGGATAAATACTTATATCCAATACAATAAAGGATTAATATGTATATTAAACCAAGAATACATTTAGACATATAAGAAGACCAATAAGATGCCAATCAAAGAAGGATGCAAATAGTAAACATATGGGAAAGTGTTCAATCCCATGAGTAATCAAAGAAATGAAAAATTTTTTAAAATAATTTTTCACCATTCAAAAAGATTTCTTATAAAGTCTGATGCTAGAGCTGCAAGGGAACTGGAATACTCATATGACATTGTGGTGTCAAAAATTTGTGCAGTCTTTTTGGAAATCACGATCCATAAAAACGTTCATGCTCTTTGGTCTGGTAATCCCACTCCTGAGAACTTGTCCTAGACACAGAATAACAAAGAAGAAAAAAGCCATACACATTAAGATGTTCAAAGCACAGAAAAGAGTTGACAGTTACCTAAATGTCCAATAATAGGGAAATACTCAAATAAAATACAATCTACTGATGGATGGTAATTTTATGTGGTCATTGAAATGATAAATACGAAAGACTGTAGCAACAGGGAAAATATTTATAATAAAAAGTTTTTTAAAAGCATAATTTTAAAAGATATGTATACTCCAATTACACATGTAACATTATATATGTATGCAAACTGGCAAAGCATGGAACATGGGAAAATGGAAATAATTTCAGAGGACACGCAGCAGTGTCAAGTGAGGTAGAGAAGTCAAAGAGGATGAAGGCAGAGAGGAGTGTTAAAGGTCTTGCTTAAGAGATAATTTGTGTTCTTCTGAGTGCAGGAAAGTGCAGAAAGAAAACCAGATTCAGACAACTGTAACTGTTTAACCCTTTAGGGTGATTTTTGTAGTGAGGAAATGGGGTTTATAGTATTCTTTCCAGAAATTCGACAGCGAAACGAATAAAGATGAATAGAATGGTAGGTAGAAGAAACAGCAGGGTTAAGGTATCAGTGGTAATGTTTTGGTTATGTTTGGTTTGTATCTTTTTTTTTAAAGATGGGATGAAATCAGTGATGGAAGAGACCAAAAACAATGAAGAGGGATAAAACAAGGAATAAGAAAAAGGATCACCTCTTATTCTGGGACTGCAGAAAATAGGGGAGAAAGACAAGGCAGATACTGAAATGGAGTTATCATGAATGAAGCAGAGCAAAGTAAAGGTATTAGAGCTTCCTGGTTTTGCAAGAGGGAAGGTAACTCTAAGAGATCACAAGGGGAGGATAAAGCTGGGGCCTTGAGAAGGCGGAAAAGACAGGAAACAGCTGCTACGGAACGTTCTCTAGGAACGCAGCAGGCTAAGAGGAATGAGGCTTAGGAGAAGTTCTAGGACGTGAAATTTTAGTGGGTCAAGCCAGTCTTGTGATCTGGCTTCATCTGCAATCCCCTCCAGTCCTGGGAGAGAAAAGATTGGCCCAGGGTAGAAGTCAAAGTGTTTAACTGAAGCTAAACTGTGAAAGACGGCAGCCCTAAAGTAACAGACCACAAAGTCCAGGCAGTTCGTCTCCCTCGAGTCTATGGGAGTTAAAGGGACTGAGGAAATGGAGGAGCCTGCGTCAGTTGTGAGGTACAGAGCAGCTGTTTTGGGTGGGGATGGCGGGTAGGGGAGGTGATGGGCAAAGAGGCCGCGGGCATAGGAATAAAAGGGAGGGAGTGCAGATGAGAGACAGGCTATGAAACAGCCTAGGCAATAGCCATGAGACTGGGAGACTAGTAAGAAGTGGGCAAGAAGGCCAGTTCTTTTACTCCTAACAGAAGGAGTCCTGTGTAGTAGGAAGGTCATGCATATCTAGGGAGAAACTGGGAGCAAAAAGAGAAATGTTGGGGCACTGAAGTCCTTTTTTTTCCCTGCAGTCCAGCCCCAGTCATGCTCTCCAGAAACAGACCCCTCAGAAGCCAATGAGAATTTGGTATCACTAGATAAGTAAGAAATCAGTCAGGTCACCAAGGGTGGGACAAAGGCAAGGCAAGGCTGCGGTCTGACTCAGGAGACCAATAGGCTAGAAGGTGATTTCAGAGGGAGAAGGCCTAGAAGCGTGAGCCCACCCTTCTCGAGAATGCCTGCCCAGAACTTCTTACTTCCCAAGGCTTAGGGCTTAGCTTCCCAAGTTCCATACACCCAACTCTATCCTATAAGCCCATAAGTGCTAAGATGGCACTGGGAGAGAGGAGTGAATGGGTGGGAAACTCTGAAGGGAACCATCCTAGTCCCAGTGCTCCGTCTTGGCCTTGCAGCCCTAAAGCCTGATCTGAAAGAGCTGGTGACAGATTTATCATTGATCTGGGGCAGCAGCTAGAAAAAGGGGAGAGATCAGTGGAGCACCAGCTCTGGGCATCAATTCCTGTCACCACCCCATCTTCTGCACAAACCTGTTCTGCCCCTCGGTACTGGAACTTCCAGCTTATGGACACGAAAGCTCCTCCCCCTCAGTCTAAGCCTTCCTTTCGTTAAGTACAGGAGAGCTGTCAGATATGTTCTCAGCAAACATCATAAAGGAGGTCCAGGGTCATTCCTGTCCCAAAGGCTGTTATAAGCTTGGGTCCTGGCCCCTGAGGCTCCTCAGTGTCCCCAACCCATGATAGGACTCTAACTCGTGCCGCACACCAGTTCAACAGTGCCAGCCCTTCAGCTGCATGTGGGGACCCTGGCATGTAGGCTCCCTGGGATTGTGCCCTATTTCAGCACCGCAGTAGGCAAAACTATACTGTCTTCAAGGGAGAACCAGGAAGTGGGTGTAGGTGCTATGTATGGCACATCCTCGGCATATGTGATATGTGATATGCAAGGTGCTCCCACTTCCTGATTCAGCTTATCACCATCAGATACCTCAGGCCGATCCTGGGACTACTCCGTCTTCTCTGCCCATCCAGTTAAACGCTCTGGTCTGGCTGCAGAAACGCATGCTATAGGAGGACGTGGGGAAAATGGAACAGGAAAGACTGCGAAAGATTTCCAGGAAGTCTTGTAGGCCCAAGCAACAGGACCAATGGCCCCGGGAAGGGACAGAAACAAAGAGAAAGAAGTAGAGGCGGAGGAGTGACTGCTACTGTCTTTGGCTAAAAAAGAGAGGGCGGCTGAAAGGTTTATGAGAGATGGGGTCACACACAACTTCCCTGCCTCCCCAGCTCCTCAGGGCGAGGGCTTCTCTCCAGAGCCTGGAGAAGAGGAGGTGCCTTATCAGGCGTCGCTATTGTTCCCACACCTCTGCCCTACACTCACCCCTTCTCTCTCACTTCCCAGTTTCCAGTGTTACAACCTATCTGCCTCGGAGTTAGGGCAGCTACTGTCCTGGGGTGGTGGCCGCCCACCTGAAGCTGCTGTCCTCAGGCAAGGACACCAGCGCCAAGGAGGAGGCAGCCGTGGGGGGCCGGGGCCCGCCACCACCGCAGAGCTGCCGGAGCTGACGTCGATACTTGTCCCCTGTGAGCAAGTAGAGCACAGGATCCAGGCAACTGTTGGCGCTGGCCAGGGGCCGAGTCACTTTATAGACCACGTTGACAATGTTCAGCACCCGGCAGTCAGCTTCCAACAGCCTTGCCAGGTAATAAATGGTGCGGGTGATGTGGAAAGGCACGAAGCAGACGGCGAAGACACTCAGCACCACAGCGATGGTGCGGAGAGAACGGAGACGAGAAGATGACTTGGCGGCACCTGGCAAGGGCTGGTACAGGCGCCGGGCCATTAGCCCATAGCACACAAGAGTGACCAGGCAGGGCACGCCGAAGAGCAGCCCCATGACTGCCGAGCTGAAATGCACGTAGTGGTCAAAGTCCTCAGGCCGAGTGGTGTCATGGCATAGGATGGTAGCCCCTCTGGTGCTGGTTGTGACAAAGAACAGGTTGGGCACGAGGCAGCCGGCTACAAACAACCAAACCGCCAGGCAGAGAAGGCCTGCAAGGCGAGGGCGGCCCCAGCGCAGTGCCCGCAGGGGGTGGCAGATGCCCAGGTAGCGGTGCACGCTGATGCAGGTGAGGAAAAGCACACTGCAGTAGAGGTTCCAATAGAAGAGGAAGCGCACGAACTTGCATAACCCGGTGCTAAAGGGCCAGTGGTTGCGGGCCGCGTAATAGTAGACAAGGGTGGGCAGTGACAGCACATACAAGGTGTCTGACAACGCCAAGTGGAACATGTAGGTGGCCGTTGCGTCCCAGGGTCGGAGGCGGAAGAGAAAGAGCCAGAGAGTCGGGGCATTGAGGCCCAGACCCAGCACAAAGACAACTGCGTAGCTCACAGGCAGCAGGACGAACTTGAAATCCTCATCAAACCAGCAGTCCAGCTCCACCTCACTGTCATCAGGACCTGGGCTGGGGCTTAGGGATCTCAACAGCGAGGACTCTGTCCTGGCCATGGCCCTCCTAGAGGGGGAGAGGGCAGAAGTGAGGGTGGCTGGATTTCCTGGCTCCCCGGCCCTGACCTGGGGCAAGGAAGCAGAGAGCAGGGAGAGCAGTGGTTGCAGCGCTAGGGAGCACTGCCAGGAGTGCGTCCGGGGGCACTCAAGCCAGCCCAGTGCCTACCCAAGCTCCGTTGGTCCAGCCGCTTGGTCCAGCCCAGGGAGCAGTGGGCAGCAGGCAGTGCCGGGGCTTAGGAGGGCAGTTGGTGGTTTGTTCTCATTCTGCAGCTGACTCTGTCCTTCACAGCCTGGCTAGCTGACGAGGGTAGAGGCTACTAGCGCTATCCGGAGTGGGAAGATGCCCAGACCCAAATTGTCTCCTAACTCGTCATCACAGCTGTGTACCTGTGAAGAGGGGCATCTCCTCCCACACAGTGCCTTCATTCACCTGTCCTTTTGCCCTGGTCCCAGTGTCTCCAGACTATGCTGGCCTCTGACACCTTCCGCCTGCCTGCCTGAGCCCAGGAGCCCCATTGCCACCCTTACCCAAGGAACTTGGCACGTATCCTACCTGGTCCTCTTGAAGCTGAGCTCAGCTGACTCTGTCACCTGGCCCTTTGGCAGCCAGAGGGCATATCCAAGGGGGTGGAGTTGAGGGTGGGGCCTGTCCCTCCACCCATCTGGGAGATTGTAAAAGCTAGAAAGGCCCTTTGAGATTATCTAGTCCAACCCATTCACTGTACAGATTGGGAAACGAGCCCAGTGAGATTACTATTTATTTAACAGCTTCGAAGTGACTGTAAGAGGGAGCACACAAGGAAGCATCCAAGTTTACAGATGAAGAGCCAGGCCGCTGGAGATAAATAAATTACAGGAAAATCATACGAGTCTGTGTAAGCGAGCAGAAACATGGGAAATGAATTTTAACATAGGCAAGTGCAAGACAATACACTGAAAGATTTTAGAAAATTCAACTACTGGTACAAATATTAACTCCATATGCATATAATTATAACAAATGCTTATATAGCATGTAGTGTGTGCCAGGCACAGTTCTAAGTGCTTTATATTTATTAATGAACTAGGTAATATTATTGTCTCTACTTTGCTGACGAGAAAATGAAGGCACAGAGAGTTTAAATATTTTGCTAATTAGTGGTTGAGTCAAGATTTGAACCCAGGCAAGCCTGCTTTGGGGCCAGGCTCTAGCATCCACGACTTCATTGCTATGCTTACTTGCCTCTCTAAGCCAATGGCCATGATCCAGGAAAGAAACAACAAATATTTACTGAGAACCTACTATGTGCTTGGTCCAGTTCTAGGCACTGGTAGTTCACCAGGAGTGAACAAAATAGACGAAAACTCCCACCCTAATGGTCCTTACATACTACTGGGGGATAATAGAATTAATAAGTAAAATACATAGATTGTGATAATTGTTATAGAGAAATATAAAGGCAGGAAGGGGAACAGAGAGGGAAGGAAAAGGGAAATAGAGGATTGCTGTTTTAAATAAATACCAGGTGTTTTGAATAAAGACCAGGTGTTGCAAGGAAAGGAAAAAGTAGAAGATGAGGTCAGAGAGTTTGATAGGGACAAGGTCACGAAGGTCCTGGGAGGCCACTGTAAGGACTCAGGCTTTTACTTTCAGTGACGGGGAAGGCATTGAGGGTTTAGAGGAGAGAAGTGTCACGATCTGATTTACCTTTTAGAAGCCTCACTGGCCAGCTCTATAGTGAGCATAGACCTCAGAGCTGGGAGTCCAAGGACAGACCAGGCAAGAGGCTATTGCCAACAGAGATGGTGGTAGCTTGGACCACAGCGACGGAGATGGTGAGAAGTGGTCAGGTTCTGGATAGATTTTGAAAATAGAAACAGCAAGATTTACTGCTGTGGGGTGTGAGAGAAAGAGAGGAGTCAAAAATGACTCCAAAATCTCTGCGCTGAGCAACTAAAAACAGAGGGTTATTGACAGAGATAGGGCCAGCTGTGAGAGGAGCAGGTTTGGGGAAAGATCAGGAGCTCATTTTTCAGCCTGTAAATTTTGAGTTGTCTATTACACTCGTAAGAGGAGATGACCAGGAGGCAGTTCACGCCTCCCCGAGGATACGAGCCAATGAGTTTCCCTCACAGACTCCAGCCCTTCCTACACAGCACCCCTCATCCCTCTCAGTCACTCCCGGAGCCCCTGGTCTGAATAGCGGAGAGGCACAAAGAACCAGCCTAGATGTTTGAGAGCCTAGTGCCAGGGAACACCGAATTGTCAGCACCTCTGGCTTTTGGGCTCCTTGAACTAACTAAGACTGTAAGTGTATATGTCCTAGGCACCAGAGGCAAACTCTGGGTCTGGAGGACTCTGAGGATAAGGTGGGCAGTGCCTTTGGGGAGGGGTGAGCAGGCTGGTGCAGAATCTGCTCTGAATGGAGCTGAGAAACAATGGAGACTCTGAACCTGATCCTCCTGTCCTCAGAATGTGGCTGCTGGATCCCGGGAATGAGAGGAGAGTCTAGATCTCTTAGAAAGCCCAGAGACCTGGATGGGGGAAATCTGGAGATCCTTGCCCTGTGGCAGGGGAGAGGGTGGGATAAAAGGTAGGAGTGGAGGAAGCAGTCATAACTTGAGGGCTGGCCAGCTGATACTATGATATTGCATAAAGGCCCAGGTTTTTTGAAGCCAGATGGATTTGAGTTCAAATCCTTATTCTTCCACTTATTAATTATGCGATCCTGGGCACCTCTTTGTAACTTAATTTCCTCACTAGCGAAATGGGGATGACAATACCAACCTTTTAGGATTTTCTGAATATTGACTTGGTTAATAGGTGCGGAAACACTTCGAAATCATAAAATGCTGCAAATCTATAAGGTATTTTATTATTATTATTATTATACTTTGCTCCCAGGGATGAACTTGGCCTCTTCAGAGGAGGACAAGTGTGATTTGAGGTTTGATGTACACTCAAGGGGAAGCGCTGTACTAGAGAAGCCCCAGCCTGAGCCAGCTGCCTGCTCCTACTGCTTCAGGTTGGCTTAGCTCTGTTACATTTCACCTGCCTTCACTCTGCTAGGCTCTGCTTGTCTCTGGACACAGCTGCAGCTGCTGCTGCTGCCACCACTGCCACCCAGTGGCTACTTCAGGAAAAGGCCTCTCCCAACCTTCCCCAACCAGAAGCCCTAGTTTCTATTCTCTCCCAGGCCAAAAGGAATGGAATGTAGCAGATCAGACAAACTCTCTTCTGTGAAAAACTCTTCTACACCTTAGTTTCTGTAACATCACTCTTGTTATCCTAGTCCTCTGCATGTTCTTCCTGACTCCTTCCCTGGCTCCTTTTTGTCCTCCTTCCCCTAAATGTGAGCCTTCCCCCAAGGAACCTCTTTGCCTCCCCTTCTTTCCCTTCCCTCCCCTCCTCTCCTATCCACCATCTCTCTCCTCCCCACTCCCCGCCCCAGAACATTCATTTTCACGATTTCAACTATGACTTAGAAGTTATCAATAATTCTAATGACCAAGAGACTGCAGCATACAGATCTCTCTCGAATCAAAATTTCTCTCTCCCTCTCTCATCCTCTCATTCCATTTGATTTCTACAGAGATTATGGAACATACCACAGGCTGCCTAGAATTACAGTCATTTGTGGTTTTTTCCATCTCTTCCCAATCCTCCCACCCCCACACCGGACCCAGAGCTCCTTCAGGACAATGCCTTGTTTTACCTCTGTCTCTCCCACAGCCTTCCAGGTAAAAGTATTAAGTCATTAAGTATGAAATGTCCGATTTCCTTAAGTACTAAGTTGAATACTTGATATCTCTGACATTTCACTTTGACACTTCTTTCCCCCCCCCCATTGTGAAGGTACATCCTTAGTCTTTCAAACGCATGTTTTGGCTTGTGATTATCTTTCACATTTTTTACAGCAATTTTTGTGAAACCACAGATAAGTCAAAAATTCATGTTATTTTTGAATATGAGTTCCATCATAGAACCAATGCAGTACAGACAGCTCAAAATATCAACGAAGTGTTTGGGAAGGATGTGGCTAATGAATGTACAGTACATCAATGGTTTAAGAAGTTCCATTCTGGTGATTTTAATTTTGAAAGTGAGCCATGTGGGTGACCTGAGACCAAGGTGGATAATGATGAGCTGAAAGCTGTAGCAGAAGCGAATCCATCTCAACCTATGCATGAATTAGCAGCAAGGTTTGATGTTACTATTCCAACAATATTGGACCATTTGAAACAAATGGGCAAGGTAAAGAAGCTGGACAGATGGGTACTGCATGAATTAAACAGGTGTCAGAAGAGAAATAGTCTCGAAGCTTGCCTTTCTTTGCTGTCATGACATAAAGGCAAACCGTTTCTACACCATATTGTTATGTGTGATGAAAAATAGATTCTTTTTGACAATTGCAAGCATTCAGCACAATGGTTGGATAAAGATGAAGTGTCAAAACACAGTCCAAAACCAAATATTCATCAAAAAAAGCTAATTGTGTCTGTTTGGTGGCCCTGCACTGGTATTATCCATTACAGCTTAATGTAAACCCGGTCAATTGATTATAGCGGGTGTGTACTGCAACCAATTGGATGAAATGATGAGGATGCTTGTGATTAAGCAGCCGAGATTGGTCAATAGAGACAGGCCAATCCTCTTGCAAGACAATGCTCTACCACATGTCTCACAAACAATGCTGCTCAAACTACAGAGGCTGGACTTGGAAACTCTCTGTCATCCACCGTATTCACCAGACCTTGCACCAACTGACTAGCACTTCTTCCAGGCTTTGGACTACTACTTGAAAGGAAAAATATTCAATTCTCAACAAGCTGTGGAAAATGCCTTTTATGATTTCATCACCACTAGCTCTCCAGGCTTCTTTGCTGCTGGCCTAAACAAGCTACCATTAAGATGGCAAAACTGTGTCAATAGTTTAGGCACATACTTTGATTAATTGTACTGCTTCTTGTTTGAGATATAATAAACTAAACTTTTGATTTGAAATTGGACATTTCATATTTAATGACCTAATATTATAACATAAGTTCTAGATATTTTCTTTCAAATTATATGCCCTGCTGTCCAAAAAAGCCTTCCAATTCAGAGTTAAGAAAACAGGTACCTTGCACATAGTTAAGTGTTCAATAAATATTTGTTGAATGAATGAATGACTCAGTTATAATTTGTTGAAT